ATGTATTCTTCCCATTTTACAGGTGAGGGAGTTGAGGCTTATGTTTGACAGAGATCCCCAGCTGGAAAGTGGTGGGATCAATAATTGAGTGAGTCTCTCTTATATATTTGTGTCATGCCCTGTGCTGTACTATGATCATTTCCCTCACCGCGCTTTATGCTCCTCAGTACAGTGGCAGATAATGATATCCCCCTGGGTCTTGGGGCCTAGCTCTCTTCCTGGTAGGTGCGTGTTAAACATTCGTTTGTTGGCTGATCAACAGCAGCTTATGCACCCTTATGCACCTCTTATTCATTAGTAGGATTGATTTTTTTTGTGCTCTATTCCCTGTGGGTTGGTGAAACTTTACCTGCTTAAAGTGGAACATTTACTCCGGGAACCCATAAATTTCCTCATGAAGCCAGAAGTCACTGTCCATCCCCCAGGATGAATGAGTTCCAATGTACCTACCCTTACCTAAACCCTCAGCCCAAGATGACATGGAGGGCTGCCTCTTATTGGAAAGACAATGAAGGAGAAGATGTAGGTATCTCAGTGAAAATCTAGCTATCTTATTTTCCCCTGCAAAATCCTCCTTGTCCTTGAAGGCTGGGTTCCAGTATCATCACTGTATGGACGTTTCCCAGGCTGACCACACTGACCATACCTTCCCTGACCCCCACTTGATTTTTTGTTTTTGATATATAAAAACAGCCTCATTGGTATTTCGAGTTCAGAAGCTGTCTGCCCTATTAGGTCCAGGACTCTGGAACAGAGCACAGCCCCCACACGCCTCCTCCTCTCCAGCCCAAAGCTTGGAAGACTGAAAACCAGACCATTCAGGGGATGAACGGGGTTATTTGGTCAGTGGATTTACCTGCGGATTCTGTAGTCCCTGAGGAGCCTTATTTCCAGCCTCCTTTATGTATTTGTTTATTTATTTATTAATTATTTTCTGGTTCTGGGTCTTGAACCCAGGGCTTTGTCCGTGCTAGACAAGCTCCCTGCCAACTGAGATAAATCCCCAACCCCCTTTTATTTTATATATGGCCCCTTTTCAGGTCCCTGACCCCTGCTTTTAGGCATTAACAGGCCATTTCCAAAGCCACATTCTGCAGTCTTTGTGTGGAGACAGTCTGAAGTTCAGCCCTCTCCTAAAGAGACTGGTGAAGCGTGTACTATTTGGGTATGTTCTGCTGTCTGGGTTAGGGCAGGGCGACTTGGTGTGACATCAGGTGCCGGTGTTTTTTAGAAAATCTTTTTGTTTTGGACTATGTTTCGTTTTACAGAAAAGTTACAAAGATGCTTCAGAGGTTCTTGTCTACCCCTAGCTGGTTTCCCCTATTATAACTGGTACATTATTATTCATTAAATGCCAGGCTGTATTTGGATTTCACTCGTTATTCCACCCATGCCCTTTTTCTGTCCTAGGATCCAATCCAGGACACCACATTGGTTGTTTGGTTGTCACGTCTCCTTAGCTTCCTCTGGCCTGGGACAGTTTCTCAGTTGTCCTTTGTTTTTCATGACCTTGTCAGTATGGCACTGTTTTATGGTGCTTTGGAAGTGCATTTCCTGGGGCCAGTGCTGCTGCAGCTGGGGTGGGGGTGGGTTAGCTGCTAAGAGTCATCACTCCTTGATGGTTGAGAACAAAGGCTCTGGGGCCAGCAGCCCGGGCCCTCTCCCAGCTGTCCACAGG